TGTGGATCGTCTGATAGCCAAGCATTGGTGAACAGTATAGGTACGCCTCAACTATGCTTGACTGTCAGATGATCTAACCACACCAGCAGTAGGATGGCAGCGCGCAGAGGCCGCACTTGCAAACGTCTATATCAGTGGTTCTCAAATAGGGGTCCGTGAAAGCATTCTAGGGGTCCTCGAAGCCCTAGCCTCATTAGTCAAGCTCGACAGTAAAAGTGGTATTTTTTCAGGTCGAGAAGAAATGTTTCAGTTTTCGGGCAAGTTTTTGTGTGTGTATGTGAATAAGAGACGTCTACTTTACAATAGCCATAAGTTATATCCATTTATTAAATCATTATTAAATTTAACTTATACGTTTCTTCATCTCTCACCACGAATGGGGTCCTCCATCACCTCCGCCAATCCACAAGGGGTCCGCGAAACATCGATTGTTGAGAACCACTGGTCTATATAATGAAACCCTTAAAAGTATGCTCAAATCAGTCTCGTCTTGAATTAGGCCATTCTGACCTGCGCAAGAATGGACCTTTTCCAAATACCGACGGCACCAGGCGGTGGCTGCACGAACTAAAAATCAAGGAAGTGACCTACCTGCGCTACCATCGATAATGGGAGCTACGTTACCAGTTGCTTCGCTCTCTGAGCAGCGTCGCGTGCCCAACGCAACGAGGTAGGCCTAGCGCGACTTTAAAGAAGGAAATCCGTAGCGTCCACCCAAACGTCGTGTTTTTCTTTCCGTCCACTTTCTTTTTTTGTGTAACACAATTATATATATGCTGTAATTACGTGTTCTACTCGTCGATTTACAGCCTCATTCCGAATTTCCTCGATTTTTTCGTGCCGACTTCCACCGCTTGGCATCGGGCGCTCGCGCGTGCGCAGAACGCTTCTCGGAAAAGGTCCATTGGCGCTTACCATTGTGTGTATCTTCTAAGGGTCAGTTTGTACCGCAATGTTATAAGGTAATGTTGATTTTCATCATAATCAAGAACTGTCTAAATTAGTTGTGGTTAAATGCAGCTCATTTTACTATACGTTAGAATCATATAGGAATATTATCTTATAAAGAAACCGAGCGTAGCAAGCTAATATGTCGGCCAAAATCCAACGAGCTTTTTCACCCCGGCCTTATCTACGACGCATTCGCTCGTGTTACACACCTGCGGAACCTACAGCTGCTTCCGGACACTGTTGATCGGTGCGGCTTGGTGAAAGAGAAGCATTATTTCATGCTGCTTTCGGAAGCGACCGCGGGAAATATGATAAATGTGATGCACAGGTACTTCCTATCGGGCAGTCTAGGCGTTTTCCAACAAAAAAAACAAACAAACAAACGGCTCATGTAGAGGCACTGTGACAATCGAGTCACTCTAACCACGACTGCTATACTTTGGGCGACAGAAGCACAGAAAACTTGTATAGGTAACTCGTAAGTTACGTTACCTAGTAAGTAACGTACGCGTGCGTCAGCGGTAGGCTATATATGTATAAAGCGCTTATGCTCGTTTAATGCCTGTTGCCACGAAACATTATCCCTTCTAGGAAACAATGCCGCCTTCCCATTCAACATTTCCAACTTCCGTAATCCTCTTTTCTTCCCCGTCCCCAACCCACGCGCGAAATCGACACAGTCTACCATTCAGCGCTAATCAATCGATTTATCCGGCGTCCATCAGTCCGTGCATACGTGCCGCCTATACGAGGTGCTGGCCGGATGTGCGGTGGGTAGGAGGATATCGACGGACGTGAGATTGAACGTTAGCGATTCTCCGCAGTCACCGACTGCAAAAAAAAAAAAAAAGAAAAAAAAACATACCGGGTGTTGTTGATTATTTTTTTTAAAGTAAACGGAGACACGCAGCGATAAAAAATAAACGAACAAAACAATCACCTCAAACGCAGCTTGTAGTTCATTTGAACGATGTCACTGTGGATTATCTTCAGCAGCCCGCCTGTGTTTTTACCCTTTCTTCGTTGCTTATTTCCTCCACGTTTCTTTGTTTGTGATTCGTTCTTGTGAGTTCTAATCGGCCAGTGCCGCAATTTCATTGGCTATGAACTGATAATAAAATGTTCTAAATTCGCATCGGCCTGCGTTTCATGTGCTGTCAGGGTCTATTAGTGGACGGTAAACAAAGCTGCCGATGTCGCGACTATGCGTATTCTACGAGCGGGTTATTTATTTGTCCCTTGAGCCTTCATGATGTAGTTGATGAAATTTGCAATTACTATTTTTTTTTCGATAAATTATATGTGGAATTTTTGTGCAAATCGTTGCTGCCTTGTCTGAGTGTCTGTAGTGGATGTCGTCTGTTGTTTTGTGGGCAGGGCTTGGATTTCCAGCAGACGTATTGGTGATATAGACTTTCTGAAAACTTTAATTTTGAGAAAAGGCAGCTAAGTCTCGCGTAACTTGTGAAGCGCATATAATATAAATATAGCTCGGATATAAATACCAGTGTAATGTTAAAGACGGGTCACCGTATTCTGTTATTTTATTAAGCATGTCATAAAATATCGTATGCTTCACACTTTCCAGCCCTACAGCGCGACGATATGTTAACCACAGCCTTGTTTGCACTTTAGAGGCGTTAAGTATTTATCTTTAGCAATTAATATTTCAACATATTCTTTTCAGGATTTGAGACAGAAAAATATGAGAATAATTGCAATTTCAACAAAGCTAGCCGCAATATAATTTCATTGCTTGCCGACAGTAAATAAAGGGAGAGAGAACACAAAGAAAAACCAGTAACGCGTCAGTAATCTCATTACTATTCACACTACCTCCGTGTTTCTTCCTCTGTCTCTACCTGGGTACTTATCACTTATCGCATCTATTCCTCGTTATGGATAACACCCTGTCTGCATAGGCACGGGCCTTTCCCAGTGATTGTCGTCACTGTCGTTTTAGTTACTGTGAACACAACCGACTTAAACATATCAATAAGCCCAAAGAAACGCGAACACTCCCACAGCTAAACTTCACTTTCTTTTTTTCTTTTTTCCTTTAGAAACACCCGTCAAATGTTTAGTGGTCTTGTTCTTTTTGAGCAACAAACACTCGGTCTTGTTCGCAGCTTTACGGTTACCGGAACCGATTTCCGTAGGACTGCTTGTGCGCAGGCATGCATTTTCTTTTTCTTTTCACTTCTGAGTGATTGGATTTTAGAGGTTCATTCTGAGTGAGGGTGAGTTGTCTTGTTATGTCTCACCCTGCTGGGAGAACGCTCTGCTTAAAACGAAAGGCGCTCAACGAGGCACAATGGAAATGAATACTTATTTATCTATCGATCCTTGTTCACACAGCCGAATCTATGACTGTGTGCCCTTAAGTTGTTACAATGTTATCTAGCAGCTAATATAGAGTCAACGTGTGCCGTTCAAGTGAAGGTAATGAAAATACAATATTTTGTTAATGGTCTACTATAGAGAAAACATAATTGCTTTCTTAGCCTGGTCACTTTTTATAGATCTTGGTGATCGTAATCATCCAACTAGGGTTAGTGTTTTCAACCTGTTCCTATAACAGCCCTCACAAGGGCACCGTTTGTGTTTCCCTAACATTATACACTCAAATGATCTCATATTCAAAGTAACCAGACGAAATTTCAAAGTGGGTTGATTACACAAAATTGCTTTGAAAATAGAAATTGCGTTGTTTTGACGAATTTTAGCTCTGAAGATAACAGGGTGCTTGGTAGATGACTAGGTTATCTTGATGTGTTAGTTTTGGTTATGCTATTTTTTTCTGTCTTTTCTAGTAATAAAACTTTACTTGTGAGTGCAGCTTCGTTCTGCCGTGTTTATGTCTCCCCTTCGCCTTCGTCGTTTGAGCTATTATCAACATTTAAAACGCATAAAACTCGCCTAATTAGCTCCATTATTACTCGTCAATTCTTTTGCTGCCTTCGAATTTTACCTTTACTCATCAATACACGAATTATTAAAAAAGGCAAGCATGGGTGAAATAAACTTGAAAATTAAAAAAAAGACACTCATCCTACTGCCTCTTGCAAGTTACACGATCGGCTTTCTACCATATCTGAAAACGATCTAGGGTTTTGTTATCGAAATTGTTTAAAGTTGCATCACTATGATAATATTTCACACAACATCACAGTATACTGACGCCGCGTTCAGTTGCAATTAAATAGGTTTTTTTTTAGGCGTCACGAGCATTTTTTTTTTGTTATAGAATAAATGACAATAGGAAAATGCATCTCGCCGCCCTGAAGTTTTTGCTGGTGGTATACGTTAACAAAGGTCTCCTTGACTAGACCTAATTAAGCAAGGAAGAATGCTATGACAGAATGAATGCGCATATTTACAAGCTTCTTTGTGGTACAACTTGAATGCAATGAGAAACACAATTACGGTGGAACACTATACGCGTGTTTTACATTCGTTGTGCTTCTCCCTTCGTGTGCTTTGACAAGAGCTTTCAATGCATTTTATTTAGTCTAGCATATTTTCTTAACATGCTTTCAAAATACTGAATAGAAAAACATCAGAAACTTCGATGTTAACGTTTAAAAAAAAAAAGCAATTTTAGGCACCCACCTTTACCGTATATTTACATGTACAGTGGTTTAGTCCAACATATCGTGATCTCGATGACAAACTTAAGAAAGAGGAATGATAGATCAAGTCACTTCGGCGGTGCCTACAGACACCTTCGTTAGGTTAATTCTTTCTTCAGATCGCACATAATTGAATACTACGGGAGACCTGTGATACATGCCTGACTTGTGCCAATACTCTCATCCTCTCATAAATTCAGTCGTAATCGACCGCGCCGGCGTACTGGAGGTAATCGATCATTTGAAGGTGCCCACTAAACAATATATCCACTTTCCTCTGCGACATATTCTCAGCACTCAAACTTTCCGAAATTTCATGCGATTATTCAATTGCTAACGTAATCTCCGTTCACACACTCTAAATCAGGTTACTCATGTTGTTACTGATGCGCACACTGTTACTCATGGTAATGAGTAACAATATCAAACCTCTTTTTGTGATTTATTTCCGAAGCACTGGCATAGATAGCTGCCTCATGAGTAACACGTGAAAAACGAGAGCTTCATGGGTAACGAAGCGCTTCACTCGCGAATCGTTACCCATGCTTTCGCATTGTTCCTCATGCGGACCACGAAGACCTGCAAAATGTAATGCCGCTAAATCTAGCTTTTCGGGAAAAGTCGTCTACGAACAAAGAGCAGCCATGGAAGCAAAAAATAAAATAAAGAAAATAACACGGGTGCCGGGAAACGAAACTCTCCGAGAAGGGGACGTTTGTTTGCTATAACTTTTGGAGACCGGGGACCGCTGCGGCGGGCATAACTTTTTCAAGAAAGGTGAGTACGAAGCGGCATAATCCTTCGATTCGCTTTTGTTATTCTGACCTCGGTATATCCATACAGACACTCCTCTGACAAGGCAGCCTGTACAATGTCAGTCAGGCCAGGCCTAACGAACACCGACCTCGGCGGCACCACTCGCGGCTCCTGCGCGTCCCTGGACTGCTCGTGTGGGGCTTTTGTGACCCGTGAGGACGCATTTGGATATGCGGACTGTCCGGCCGGTTGGTGCTTGATTTGTGGCCATCCACCAGCACAGCACGGGACTTTAGGTGAGTCAGTTTGTGGAAACAGGGCTGGTCTTGACCGCGTCTCACGTTGCTGCGCTCAGACTCTGTCACGGATCGCGCGCGTTCGGCCGGCGCACGATTCACTGAGCGGACAGGAGCACCTTCGGCGACCGAAACCCGAGTGCGCTCCCGATGTACTTATTTCCATTAGGAGCACGAGTGGCTTTTTCGAGCTCAGTGACGACGCTTTCGCCTCATCTGTTTCGCTATTCTTTTGGCTGGTTTTGGTTAGAGCTCAAGCTTCTTGAGTTTGATATTGCAAAGCTGTTAAAGAAAAGTGTTCTAGTTTTGCTGCACTTCTTTTCGTACAGTGAAAACAATCTCGTTAAGGAGGCGAATACGGCACTTAGAAGAGTGCAATATTCATTGCTTGGGTCAACTTTGGCACAAAAATACCCGGACATGCTTTGGGACCGACCGAAACCTGGGACCAAGCTCTCAACGAGACGTCTCTGGGTAAATACATTTTCAACTGTTTAATTACCACTGCCCCGTGCTTCGAATGATATCAGGGAGGGTTCCTAAAACATCTGTTTTGACTTCTGGCAGAGTGTATTCATGTGCCGGTTAACAGCGAGGCGAAAGATGAGGTACGCACGAGAAAAAAAAAGACAAGGCGCAGGCAAACAATGGAGCGGATCAGTATGATGTAGACACTCTAGCGCAGCAGTCCACCCCAGATGCTCTCAAGGAACTGGAGGTAAATTTGTCTTCTGGCTCTCTTATGTGCATTCCAGCATTCAATGCCTCACACCCCCCTCCCTCTTTCAATCCATCGACTCTGCTGTCAAGTGCCCAGCCTCAGTAAATGTGCCATATGTAGTCAAGCTCCTCAAAGTGACATTTGAAGAGAGGAAAGGCACCGTCTTGGACAAACTTCCAGTCTACTTCTTGAATGCTGAATGCGTAAGTGAGCATTTTGTATTTCATTCTAGTACGCACGCCGACCAAATCATACAGGCTGCTTTTTTTAGAGCATTGTTGACTATGTTTACCGTAAGAATGAACTTTGTCTACTCTCTTGGATAGCTGCTGGCAGAATGCGAGCTGCACTTCGCCATGAGTTTTACAAGCATGAAAGGCGTGTGCACCAGCATACTGGAGGGCTTCGGCAAGGATCACGGGATACGCCAAGCAACACTGATGGACGTTCAAGCCTTTCTGCGGTCAAGATCATCCCGCGATGATGCTTTGAGCACGGTCAGTCAAATTTACTAATAAGATAAACGCTTCATGTAATGGCCATGTTAGAAACACGGTATTAGGAACAAGCATTTTTTATGGGGGCTTGCATTGACAAGAAATTTAATACAATCCTCGTTGCGTTTTAAAAATAGCTGCGCGACTACATTCCCGCAGAATGCTCGGTGGACAAACCAGCGTGATGTACGAAATGAATTTAATGAATCAAAAGATCGCAAATATGCTTAGCGTGAAAATGAAGTGTGCATTGGGATACTGAGCACGACGATTTACCTGTCCAGTCATGCTCAGTCTCCCATGAGAGACATCATTTTTATGTCTAGGCATACCTGCGGCATTGTCATTCGTCAGATGTCTTTCATGGACCACGGTAATAGACTTACCCAGTGCTCGGCAGGGAAGTATAGTCGCGTAGATACTTTTTAAGACTGTGGGTTCAAAGCTATCATACTGGCATTTTGCTTTTTGCTCAGTGATAATACCGCCCATAACTCGGCCATTTGACTGCCCAAAAAGCAATGCTCTTTAACTGACTTCGAATCAAGATAATTAAATTTAAGCCCACATTGACGCTGAGCGCAGCTATAGAGTGAGAGCGTGAAGATGGGTAGCAGCTATTTTATTAGAGCTTTGGGCACTTTGTT